CGAGGATTATTCCTTGTGGAATCCGAGTCAAAATCTTTCCTTTTTTTTTAGTTATTTATTTTCTTATTTAGGCTGTGATTATTTTCCTTTTTTAGGCTGTGATTTAGTTTCCTTTTTTTCTTTAGGCTAAATTAGTGGGTTAGTTTCCTAGAATAGCTCTTAGATTGATTCTTAGAAGTTGTATATATTTGTACAGATCTTCTCAATGAAATTAGAACAGAAATCTTCAACCATTTGTTTCTGTTTTCATATTATACATTTGGTCTTTATAAAGTTTTAATGAAATCATGTTATTTATCAAATAAATAAATAAATAAAAATAATCTCCTCTTTATATGGCACGAAGGGTAGAGAAGTACAAAGAAACAAACTTCTCCCGCTAAGATTACTCACTTCATGACACAACTTGTAGATCCTGGAGGCGTTTTGGACATAGGAATAGTTCTCATATGCTTGATTACATATCCCTTAGCTGTTGCTAGGAGCCTAGGAACATATAGTTTCTAGTTTATGTGGCTCCATGAAACTTGATAACCAAGGATGTACATAATGTTTTTCTGCTCCCACTTTGAATATGTCATATCATTAGTCCCAGGCTGTTTAAAGAATCTCTATCTTAAAATTCAAGAAAAAAACATCATGAATATTCCCCTAAATCTGAAACTTCTCAGAATCTAGGACCATGGTTGACCATATGGTTTGACACCATCTGTATGGCCAATGACATCAACAGGGCTTGCAATGATGTACAATGAGTAGAAGGCTCCTTTTCTATTTCCTGCTCTGATACTAAAGTTGTGTTTGCTTGTGTTGCAAAATGCAACGTATTATAGTAAATGAAAACAGGTGTGAAAACCATGAATGTAAATCTGGTTCAGCCATGCACTGGTGTTTGTACTCATCTTGTTTGTTTGTTTAGGCTCAGTTTGGAAGGAGTAAAAATACAAATATGTAGAGTGCAAAACCATGTATTTTGTATTATTTAGTATGTATTTGTACTGGACATATTTGTATTTGTACTCCTTCCAAATGGAGCATCAGGGAACAAATATGGGTAAATTTTTCCACCCATTTGTTTAGACAAATGTCTACAAGTCATTGACTAATTTACATCAATCACAGGTTGTTAAATTTACATCAATTTTGAGAGAACATGAATTTCAATGCATGTTTATATTCTTTTTCAAGGGAAACTTGTATCTCAAACAAATAGACACAAAACTGAACCAGAATGCACATTTCCATTGGTTCAGTGTTTTCATCACAGAAAAATGTAAATTACAAATATTAATATATCTTGAATGGAGAAGGGAAAGAAAAGTGGAAAAGAGAAGATAAGAGGAGGATAAAATGGAGATTTTGATGAAAGTGCAGATAGATCTTGGTTGTCTAGTCAATCTCATTATATGATAAATAATGAATTTACATTATTTTTTTTCTATATTCAACTATTGCTTTATAGCACACTCTTTTTTTTCTGATTCATTTGATATAATATAATTTTATTAGCAATAAAAAAAAGATTGGCTTACAAGGTCAGCACAACCATTGCAGGATATTGGATGGTTGAAATCTGTAACAAACTTGCCAATTCTCATTAAGGGGGTGATCACAGCAGAAGATGGTATATCATGGATTCAGTGGATCCACATTTATCTCATCATTTTTTTAATACTATCCATTATTTCATCATCATCATCATCTAAGCCTTGTCCCAACTATATGGGGTCAGCTACATGAATCTAGTTTCACCATTCCATTATGTTCAATGCTATATGTGGAAAAATAAAGAGGAAGAGAAGAAGAAATGAAGAGGGAGAGAAGAAGAAATACTTCTGTACTGATAATGTGTTGAAAGAACATGTTGAGCATACAGCTTAAATAGAAAAAGATACAAGAGACAAACTCCTAGGATCTCTCTCAATTACTCCTAGAATCTCTCTCAATTAGGGATTGATTAAATCTTTCCCTTAATCCTAGGATATGACTTTCCTAATTTTATTCAAATCTAATCTTTCCTAAATTTATTCAAATCTAATCTTTCCTAAATTTATTCAAATCTGTGATCAATCAAATCTTTCTAAATTTTCAGCAAATCATATCTTTCTTAATTTGCTGCAAATCATATCTTGCCGACACTATATCCATTGTTAAACTATGGTCACTTAAATAATTTCTTATTGCTTCCACACAAATTCAGTCTTCCCTAGCTCTTCTAGCCCCTTCAACTTGTGACAGGTCACTTTTTTCTAACAGGTGCTGTAGATGGCCTTCTATGAACGTGACCAAATCATCTTAATCTATTTTCTCTCATTTGTAACCTACTAGGGCTACCCCTAGGTTCCTTCTTATGACTTCATTTCTAAACTTATCCCTTCTAGTTTTACCAGTCATCAATCTAAGCATTCACATTTTCTACCACACTCATTTTTGTACATATTGTTTCTTTACTACCCAACACTTTGCTCCATACAACACAGCTGACCTTACAATTGTTTTATAGACTTTCCTTTTAGCCGAAGTTGTACTCGCGTATCACATAAGACTCTGGATGCATCCTTCATTTTGTCTATCATGCTATAATTCTATGAGTGACATCCTTCCTCAATCTCTCCTTTGCTATGAATTATTGAACCAAGATAATGGAAGAGGTCACATTGAGTTATCTCTTGGTCTCCAATCCTAAGTGTACCTTGATTTGCAGTCTTATTATTATTTATTAAACTTGCATTGCATATATTCTATTTTAGTCCTTACTTTAAAACCTATTGTTTCTAATGCAATTGTCCATAAACATAATTTTGCATTTAATCTCATTGGTTTCATGAAAGAATACCATGTCATCAGCAAACACTAGGCACCGTGGGACCTCCTTTTGAATGTGTTTAGTCAATTCATCTATGATTAGCACAAATAAATAAGGACCAAGTGTTGAACCTTGGTGAAGACCCACTATAACTGTTGAAAGCTTGTATTTTCCTAAGTATAGTACCGCAGGGGTACTATTGTACTTTTACCCTTTTATTTTTTAGTTGTTGTCGCCCTAGTATATATAACAAAATAGTTGGCGCCTCCAACATGCTTTTTGACTCTCAATCTTTTCTCTTCTCTTCTGCTCTCTCTCTCTCTTCTCTCTATCCTCTCTCTTCCCCTCTTCTCTTCCATCACTGCACTGATAACATGGTATCAAAGCAGAACTGTTAGATCCAAAAGAAGAAATCGAGCACAGCTTCCCTGTCTTCTCCATTCGCCAGATGGAAGGAGAACAGCATGGTTGTCCTGGCTTTTAGTGTCTATGCAACCCCAAATGAGAAGGAACTTTATGTGGGCTGAAACGGCAAATGAAATCTAGGAGCAGGCAAAATCAACCTATTCTGAGTTGCGTCACTATGCAAAGATTTATCAATTACAGGCAGAATCATCCACTTGTAAACAGGGGGAGAAGTGTCTTATGTGTACTACTCCGACTTGACCTCTGTCTGGCAGGAGCTAGATCGTTATCAGAGTGTGGATTGGAAGTGTGATGAAGATGCAAAATTATACAAGAAACTTGTATCTCAGTAGAGAGTGCTTGCCTTTCTACATGGCTTGAATCTGGCATATGAATCCATTAGAGTTCAGATCCTAGGTAGCAAGGATCTTCCCTCTGTCCAGAAAGTTTATGCTCTTGTACAATCTGAAGAAAGTAGAAGGAACTTGATGAACAGTTCTGGAGGGGATGCGGTTGGGTTGGCAGCAAAAAGGAAGTGTGATTACAGGTAGTGGGAACACTTTGAAGAGAGGGGACTCTCAAAAAAGGGCAGATGACAAAGACAAACTGTGGTGTACTCATTGCCAGAAACCCTGACACGCCTGAGATACATGTTGGGATCTCCATGGGAAGCCAAAATGGACTCAAGATTTGAATAAGAAGCAAGGTTCAGATCTGAACAAAAAGTCATGACAGCAAAGTACAAGAAAGAACACTATGGCAAACATGGCCTCTTAGGAAAATCAACCCCCCATTACTACTGTGACACCGACTCACGTCTCTAGATCTGACCCAAGAGAGGATATTATTAATTCCTTCTGTGACCATTTAGAACTCTATGGTAGAGCAATTCGTTAGATGGATGCTCCTCCCTCAACGTCATTTGCGTCTACATCAGGTAACTCTGCCACAACCTTTCGTGTAGCATCTCATACCCTTGACACTCCCTGTATCATTGATTCTGGAGCGTCTAAACACATGACCGGTGCGTCCTCTTACTTTCAAACCTATCACCTCCTTTCTGGAAGAGACAAGGTGAGACTAGCTGATGGATCATATACTACTATAGCTGGTCAAGGAACCATTTCTCTTCCTTTTGGCCTTACACTCTCTGATGTTTTACATGTCCCTAAAAATTTCCCATTAATTTGGTCTCAATTAGTAGTATTACAAATTCCTTAAACTGCTCAATTACCTTTTCCCTTCTTACTGTGTGATCTAGGATCTGGCCTCGGGGAAGACAATCGGTAGAGGATGTATGGTGGATGGACTTTACATGCTGGAGAATAAGGCTGGTCTTCAAGTCATAGAGTCTAAGAGTCAGTCCTGTAAGAGTCAAGTCTATTTATGGCATTGTCGTCTTGGTCATTTATCTTTTGAGTCTTTAAAGTGGTGTTTCCAGAATTGTTTAAGTCAGTGTCAGCTTCAGATTTTTCTTGTCAAACTTCTCAATTGAGTAAGCAATGTAGAACTCATTTTCCCTCAAAGAATAATAAATCTGAATTTCCTTTTCACATTGTTCATTCTAATGTGTGGGGCCCGGTTACTTTACCATCTAAGAGTGGCTACAAGTATTTTATTACCATTATTGATGATTATTCTAAATATACATGGGTATATCCCATGCGGACAAGGGATGAAGTACCAAAAATTATCCAAGACTTTCAGCGGATGATCTTCACCCAATTTCAAACTGAAATCCAAATTTTTCAATCAGATAATGCCAAAGAGTATTTTCATAGTGATCTCACGGAATTTTTTGCTTCACGTGGTTCACTTCACTATAGCTCTTATGCCCGAACACCACAACAAAATGGTGTTGCCAAAAGAAAAAACTGACACCTCCTTGAAGTGGCCCGGGGTTTACTTATCCATATGAATGTCCCAAAACGATTTTGGCTTGAGGTTGTCCTTTGTGCTACCTATCTCATCAACCGTATGCCCTCTCGTCGGTTAGAGTGCAAAGCCCCACATCAGCTTCTTTTTCCTAAGGCTCCCCTTCTTTCCATTCCTCCTCGTGTGTTTGGTTGTCGTTGTTTTGTCCAAAATCTGTCCTCACTCAAAAGGGATACCATTGTTTTAATCCTGTTTCTCGGAAGTTTTATGTTTCCATGGACGTCTCTTTCTTTGAGATTGAGCCTTTTTTCCCTGTTTCTCCTCAAGGGGAGTGTAGGAATGAGGAAAAACTGGTCTAGCTCCCTCCTCTTCCTGATCCTCCTCCTTTTCGTTTCTTCTTTCGTTGTCACAAAGGCCAACCAAGTTCAAGAGCTATGGAGAACCTAGAAGCTATACCTCCAATGCCATCTATTAGAATACACAAATCAGGGGTATTTTGGTCATTTGGGTTTATCTATTTGAAAGGTCTATTTTATTTAAGTTTAAATTATGTGTCCCATCACTTATGAGGGACAATATGGTCTTTCTTGTAACTATGTTATTGGACATAAATACAAGTGGGTCGGCTAGAGGTGGACTGAT